ACCATGGGACTTGGATATATAGGCGATAACCAGATCGCATTGATGCCAGTTTCCACGAAATAATCCAACTTTGAAGTTATCCCTGACAATACAGAAAAACATAGCTCTATAAATATCGCCGATGTTGCTTAGCTACAAACGCCTTCAAATTAGGCAGATAACAAAACAGATTAATTGCACAAAACTATAATGTAACAACTAAATAAATGGAATTTGTAGGTTGTTATATATTGATATAATAATTTGTTATTTTATTGTATGCTATACTTGATATAATAACAAATGACAGTGTTGGCATATGCTTACCCTTCAAGTCGCCTATGCCATCGGCGTCCGAGTCATACAAACTCCTCGGATAAATTTGATAAAAAACGGTGTTATTCCACCATGACTTATTACGAATCTTGTTGTGATGATGATGATTATTATTATGGTGGTTCGCCAAAGAACTACTCGCAAGAAGCAAAAGAGCACACAGGCGCATTGTCCACGACATGATGCCGTTTGTACTTGTGTTGAATCTCAAAATCGTTTATATACATCAGCGGCAGAGAGACTCGATATCGCTCCATTATTGTGCTTAACAAAGGTTACGTTATCTAAATGTTGCATTTGAAGAAAAATAAATAAAAAATGGAAGCTCAGTGTAATTGCGTAACTAGAATTTTTCCATCGTGATAACTGCTGTGAAAAATAGCTAATATATCTTTAAAATGGAAGCTATGGTTACTGCGTATGAAATTTTTCCATCCTGATAATTGTCCTGACAAATAACTTATATGTTTCTTTAGAAAACTGCAAAATTAATGATGCTGTCAAACGTATAATTTGACATAAGAAAACGGAACTAAACAACACGTGCGTGCCTAAAATTGGTACATGAGATGTTTTATGTTTAATTTGTTAAATGTTTTATGTTTATATTTTTGGACGTGCTAGATCTATGCGTGCATTATCAGGCATCTATAAGAATAACATTTTGAAGTATCTCTAAAAGTATTTCCAAAAAATTAATTAAAAGTAAAAAAATAATAAAATGGAAGCGATGGTCACGTACAGAATGTTTTCATCCTGATAATTATTCTGATAAGTAATTATATTCCTTTGAAAAATTACGGAATTAATGATGCTTCTCAAACGTATAATTCGGCACACGATTGCGGATCCGAACAATGCATGTCCAATATCGAAACACGAAATACCTGATGTCCCGTTTCTGAATATTGCTACATATGCTATTTGGACATTTGTAAGAATAATATTTAAAAGTATCTCCGAAGTAGCAGTGAAAAATGAAAAGTAATACAGTAGAAGCTATATGTTATAATGATCATTGCGTATGGGATTTTTCCATCCTGATAATTGTCCTGATAAATAATTACATTTCTTTGAAAAATTACGAAATTAATGATTGTAGACTTAAGTCAACGGCTTTATGACTTTTCCTTTTCCCGTGATAAATCGAATACTAACTGATCGCTCGCCACAAACTAAATTAATACATATGTTAAGAATTACGCCACACATATAGCGTGCAGTTTAATAATTTATTTGTTTGCAACAAATTAGCACGTAAAAATCGCTATGTAACGCCCATAATGACATTATTGTTTGAGTCACCCGGAAGTAACGTGAAAACAAATTGTGCTGAATATGACATATTCTCATGTATTTTATTTTACTACGTATCGCAATCGTACATGGAAATATGTCAGAAGTTTCAAGGCGCAAAAATTGCATAATTCTGCAATTTTGTTAAGTAACAGATCTAAGAAAAAATACGAGACATATTGTCCATAAAATATAGAACAAAGCTTTAACTTTATAACTAGTTTTATAAAGTTTAATCATATAAATTAATATTTTTATTTAACTATTTTGATACATACATATAATATGTATATTAGGGTGGAGCGATTTCTTACTCCCTGTTGTGCATGTATTTTCGGAAAAGGCATAAAAAATGATGAATTTTGGTTACAAGCAAAAACTTTTTAATGAATATCTACCCCTCCTAAAAAATAAAAAATCATTGTATTTTTTTCATTTTTATTTTATTTCAATTAATCATCCGTTTATTATGGTACATAACAATTGTTTCATAAAAATAATTAAATCCAATAATAAAAATAATTTATTATTGGAAATCTGTTTTTGTTTCAGTTCTCGGCCGAGATTCGATCATAGTAAATGCCATTCCTTCGCGTTTGCTTGGGGGATACACGATGGGCTGTCTTGGTGACAATTTTAATGTGACGCTCCGTTGTTTGTATTGTAACGATGCACCCCCGAAAGTGCATCGTTCCCGGCCGAACAACCGCCGGATGCCGCCCGATCGACGAACCGTCGAGCGAAGAAGGCGCGGTGCGCCCCATATTTTTTAAGCGTTCCAAAGGTCGTCGGCTGGCAACTTAAGG